GGAATCCCGAAATGGCCTGCAATTCCAGGGATCCCATATCCATATGTCGCTTGGCAAAACTTCAATTGCCCCTCCTCGAGAAGCCGGTAGCTGGTCCTGCGAAGCCCCCACTCTGTCTTGATTCGCCCGAAACGGCACTCGGGTCAGTCAGTCTACAAGGTTTCGCTCCCCACAAAACCTTCCCTGCAAGTCATGGTCACCCTCCCAAACCAAAATGTGACAACGTACATCATCCAAGAGTGCTTGCACATCATGCCCAAAACTTCGACTCCGATGTTCGCCTTGCCTGGCAGATGACAGAACCTCGCAACAAGATTCTGCCACATCGCGCCCAACATGAAGAACTGGCTGCACGTTGCATTCACGCAGTGAGCTGAGTCCGGCGCGTGGTGTGTGCCTGAGGCTGGTCAAAAATAGGTTCCCAAATGGAACTGGCAAAGGGAAGCATGGACATGGACTAAAGCCGAACCAACCCAAAGCGAACGGACTCGGAGTCGAGGTCTCAAGGCCAAGCCGCCGAAGATCAAAGCCGCGCAGACCGCCCCCAGCAAGTAGGGCGCCGCTGGATGAAGTGGCGCCGCCTATGTCTGACGTGCCTAAACCCAGAGCTGCCATTGGTGCCGCGGAAATGGTGGATAAGACAGGAACCGTGCCACCAACAAGGGGAACAAAACCGAAAGTAATGTGGACATTACTTGGAAAATGGTGGTCAGGTAGCGTTACGAGAGTGGCCTGGTGTCTAGCATGGTCCGGAAATGGTCGGAAGTGGTAGAAGTTTGGTGGGACGCACCAGAAACAAATAACCTCGCGCAAAGGTCAAACCTGTTCTGTCTAAAAGAGGGCCCGACCCAGCACCAGCCGTCAAGGCCGGGCACGCTGAACCGTTGATTTGCGCAATCGGGAGATGGAAAACTGTGCGCCACGTCCAGCAAGATTCTTTTCCCCCGCACCCGGCAACAAAAACCTTCCCTGCAACAACAACTTCAACCGCAAGGCCGCCCCTTTCCTCCAGCAATTGAGAAACCAGCCTTACGCATTCCACCAGATTGGCAAGCTTGGCAACGCATCTAAGTTATGACATTTCGGTTTTGACCATCCATCCAGCCCAAACTCGTCCGATTCCTGGCAATCGATTTCGAATCGCCTGCAGGTGCTGGGCAAAGGGTCTCAGCTCCTGGCGTCTCCAAACCGACCGCTCGGACTCGCGCCTTCTGCCCGCCCCGTCTCCCCGTTTCGGCGACGGAAAGCCTCGTGCGGGCCTTGGCCAAAAGGATCCCCGCCACCCAGAAGGCGGCCAGCAAGGAAGCGCCCCACACCTCGCAGGCCGAGCGATCTGCGTGCTGGGGAACCTGGCCCAATGCTTTTGTTGCCCTTCTGGGGCGTCAAAGCTGGGGGCCCCCCTCTCTTTTCACGTTTGGAGAGAGTTGGGTGTGGGAGGGGGAACTCAGTCAGAGCAAAAGGACAGCGGACGAAAGCTGCATCCCAGCGGCCCAGCCAGAGCACACCTCCGTGCAAAGCGATCTGAACGCCTGCAGCACACCTCCAGGCGGGCGGTGCCAATCACATTTTGGCCTGTGCCGTTTGGACAGGTTGAAAGCGAGAAAAAAGAAAAGGAAGAAACAACGCGAGAAACGCCGCCTAAACGGGGCCCTCAGCCCAAAGTGACGCAGGAAACTGGTCCGGTCCCCAACCCCAAAGTGCCCCAAAGTGCCCAACAAGATTCTCAGCTGCTCGTTTCCATAGTCGGCCTCTTTCCCTCTGGTTAGTGCCTCTCTGCGGAAGAGAGGCACTCCCGGATCTGCTATCGATCGGTGAGGGCCCCATGGAAACACTGTCGCAAGGTTTTCGCGTGCCACTCGTGCCACCCCCACTCTGCACTCCTTGCTTGGACGTGAACGATGTTTGGGTCTCAAAACAACCCAACGGCGTCCCCTGTCTCACTCGAAGTTGGGTTCACAGGCGCCCTCCCGGGGCCGCAGCTGGAGTCGCCACGCAGGTACTCTGATCTGCGCCTGCGCAGCCGTCACTGGCTGTGTCCAACAAAAACCCAAACCACGCGTGCGACTTTTCACATCTTGGGGCAGCTTCCACTGGGCACGGCGGGGTTCCACCTGACGGTTCTCCCAGTGACTCGAACCCTGGGGCTCGCCGTCCAAAGCCCATGACCAGCTCGAAGGCCACAAAGGCCAAGGACAGGACCAGCAAATCGGTGACCTCGGAGGCACAGAGTCTCTTGCGACCCCTGGAGACTCCTGGCTGGTCTGTTTTCGGCAAGGGCCCCACCACCGGCATGAGCCAGTACAGCAACGACCGCCTCAGGGTCACAAGCGGTGAATGCAGTGAATCTTTCGGCCGCGATTCTTGAAATGGATGGAGGGGGGAAGCAAAAGAGGCGGCCTTCCAACCACGGGCGTTTGCCTTCTGACTGCTTGCTCTGAGAAGCCAGCGTGAGCATGTCCACCGCCGGTGATACCAGGCTCCTGGCCGCTTCACGGGAGGTGCCTGGTTCCCTGGGCTTTGGAACCTGCCTCCAGTCAACTGCTGCCGGGGCGGGCGGCACTTTCATGGGCCTGAGAATCATCGCCCTTGCTTCCAGCCCTGAAGACCCTTGACCACATTTTGAACACATCTGTCCAAATTCACGCCTGAAAATGCCTGAAATGTCTTCAAGTCTGGCTTCCGGGGTCATCGAATCTTGCGTTCCCTCAGAGCAGGGAAAGCCAAGCCCTGCTAAGCTGCAGGCCGGATCGTGGTGGTCAACGTGTTTGGCTTGATCATGCCTGGCAGTGGCTCCGAACCTTCCGCAAAACCAGGCGTGCTCTTGGCCTCTTAGCCTCTTGGTCTCTGGCCCTCTTTTGCGCCCTCGCACCCCTCTCGCTTTCTCGCTCTCGCGCCCTCGCACCCCACTCCGCAGATCACACAGCTTCCGCCTTTCACTACGCTTACAGCTCCTTCCCTTGCGGCCACTGAAGCATCCTGGCATGCGACACTCTGGCTATGGATGAGCTCCATGGCAGCAACTTCTGACAGGGTGACACTCAAGACCCCGCTGTGTCCACGTTGTTTGCGTATTCATTCTCATCCAAAATCGCTGGACCCTGCCGACTTGTTGGTTGCAACCATCAAAGAACTTCAGTAAGGTCTGAAAGGAAGCATCATATGTTCGCACTCGTGCACGGACTCCTATCAGCGATACGCAAGTTGACGCCTTTGAAAGCTGGCAAGGAACAAAAACCCGCCTTGCCTCAGCTCGAACAAAGTTGGATATGGGTGTTTCTCGAAGAAAACCAACGCTTGTTTGGGGGGTGGGGCTTCCCATTTTGGGAAACATACAAAATCGCCCTGAGAGGGGTTCAGTCTGCCCAGTGTGGGAACTAGAAGCGGCTGAACAGTTCGCTCGCCCAAAATTGCAGACGTTTTGGGGGTAGGGAGCCACGTGGAAAAGTCCTCCGTGCCGTTCGAACGGAATCCTTGCTGCTTTTGGGCGAAACGCGTTAAAGCCTCTGCCATTGCAACTGGACTCCCACATTTGGCTCCCTAGACTTCAATCCCCAAAGCATGGCCTTGGGACGTTTGGATGAAACTCCCGAGATGGGCAAACTTGTGGCGCTTATTTGAACCCAACCATGGCTGATCCGAATCGGCGAGCCCGTTCCGGTCCTTGAGGCCCTCGTCAGCTTCTCTTGTGCCCTGCTCCAGCAGCTGCCCGGCTTTCGAGGCGGCCTCGGTCGGCGAGCGGCCACCCCGAAACTCGGAGAACAACTCCCGGCCCGCGCCTGCTGCGTGGCATTCTCGATTTCTCCGACCACCTGCGGTGGTTATATTTTTCGGGAAATCAATGGCGGGTGCACTGGAATCACACGAATTGCAGGTGCTTGTTGGCAAGAGACGTTACAAACACACTGCCTGCACCATTCCGCTACACGCACAGCATTCATCGAGGATTTACTGTGCTCAAACATACAGGAAAATGCGAAACTGCCAACACCCAATTGGGAAAAAAAAGGCAGGTTTCCAGCCCAAGAACACTTGGTCTCTGTTTCTTGAGTCGAGAATGCAACAGCTTTTTTTTTTTTTTTTCCGGTTCATGAACAAGGCTCCTGGGCCATGGTGGAATGTGGAATGGCTGAAGGCTTTGTTTAAGCATGGACATTTCTGCAGTGAGAGCGAAACACGGGCCAGAGCTTCCGTTGCAGCTCAGGCGTCCCTCAACTCACAGCTCCTTTTGGATTGTCGTTTAGTTTCTTGAGCTTCGTGCAAATGATTGGCTAGTGTTCCTATTGAACAAGCATGCATACACACACACACTGGAAGAATCTTCAGAGTCACAATTGCCTTGAAGGCGCAACGGGCTTGGTCACCCATTCGGGCCAGAAACACTTCTTTGGGGCAAGTCCAGAAACTGTCAAAACCAGCATGGTGGACCCCTCCCTCTTTAATCTTGCCAGATGTCCAAAGAGTGGGCCTCAAGGGCCCTGGGAGGGTAGCACTATCAAAGACCTTGCGCCAAGTGGCGAAGGAAGTGCCTCCTTCACTTGTTCATGCAAAACGCCGGATCCAAAAGACAAAACCACGGGGGCCTTGCAAGGCATGTTTGCTTTGCGCGACCTCGTGCAGAGACTCTGCAAATGGCTCCAAGTTTTTGGGGGAGCTGCATGGGAAGCACCGGATCCTCTTTGGGCCCCGCGAAAGGCGCGCGGAGCGTTCGATCGGCTTCGCCTTCTGCCCCTCCGCGGCCAGGTGCTGCACCGCTCCCTCCGCCGAGCCCACCTTGGACCGAAGGGTGCACCGAAACTGCGGCGAGCGCCACAAAAACGGGCGTTGGCATGGGCTTTTTTGGACGAAAGTCGCGCGCTTCGCAGACTTGCTACCTTTGGCAAATCGCAGCGGATCGCGAGCGATAGAATTAGCTGGCATGACTTGGCAGTATCCAGGTGCCAAGAGATACTCGCTCTAAGGCCAACGAAGGCATCAATCATTAACGGGCTCAGATGCAGATGTCAGCCTGCAAGCACATCCAAGTGACGTCATGCTGCCAGGCAAGAACCTCTGCAATGTCAACAACTATGTATTCCTTGTTCATTGCCACTCAAAAGCTGCTCATGAAACAGCAAACACACGGGCCAAGCCTTCAAGCATGGCTCTGCCAGCAAATTGGCATCTCCCTCCTCCGTATGACAAAGGAGGCCAGCAGCCCCGCATACCCCTTGCCTCGCAAACCATCCACCCCTCACGTTTCGCTGGAGAAAGGTGTCCATTTCAACAAACGGGTGTCTCTAGTGCACGCCCCTGCTGCTTCTAGTGCATGCCCCTGCAACGTTTGGCTTTTTTCTTGCTTCCTATCATCCAACGAGGGTCCACAAATCTTAGGACACGCATTGGGCCGGTGACGTCCTGCGCCGTCGTAGAGCTGTGCCCGCAGATCACGGAAGGCGCCACGCAGTTGCGCGGCCGGCGCCGGCGCCAGCGCCGCGGCCGGCGCCGGCGCCGGCGCCGCGGCCGGCTCCGGCTCAAGCTCCACCGCCTCGCATGGAATCTCGTTGCAATGCTTAGATACAGCGGTGACTTCCCATACTCGGTTGCTTTCTGCTCCCCTGCCAAAAGTTTGACTTTCAGTGGTTTAATGGAAAACCCAGTGGTTGGCAAAAAGTTAAAGTCCTAACATCCAAGCATAGATGGCCAAGCGAGTTGCACTTCCAGCTGTCATGAGTTGGTTGCAAACCAGGGATGAATGTGGGCACTTGGTTGTTTCAATCTTGCAAACCTCTGCGACATTGAGAAAATGGTGCCTAACCCCCCATTGTCCAAGGATGTCCCCAAGAAAGCTAGGAATCCAAACTCGTAACTGACAAGTGGGAAAGTGCTAAATCGGGTTTCAACATTTGGCATGACTCCGGCAAACTATAAATGAGCCCACTGCGGCTCAACAATAACAAATATGTAGTAGTGTGCAATGACAACATGATTGTGTTCATGCCAATACTAGTGCAATTCTATATTGTATCTGGTGTTGGTGTTGATAGAAGTACATCAACATTTTATGCAATACCAGCAACAATTCCACGTACATATATGTGCTCGCTGACACCTGCTAATGGCCCTTTGTTTCCCTCAATGATAACATCCAGGACTTGAGTTCATCCTGGCATTGATCTACATGTGTGTGGGTCAAAAGGGGGGCAGTACCCCCAAAAAAGCTACCCTCATTGAAAAAACTGCTTTGTAGAAACCCAACCTCCCAGCAAATCGGTCCCACTCTCCAAAAATTGTGGCTTCCCTTCTGGTGTCCCTTTCAAAGACCCGGAAACAGGGCATCAAAACCCACGCGACCGGGCCAACATGGCCGGCCCCGGGCCTCCGCAAGCCAAGCCAGGGCCGGCATGCGCTCGCCGCTCTGCTCACGGGCCTCAGCGGGCCGAAACGGAGCACGGCACTCGCTTCGGCGGTCTAAATGCATTCGGCACCAAAAATTGTGGTTTTGTAATTCGATGAATCGCAATGAAAGACATGAAGGGATGAAACTATGAACAACAATGAGAAACCAAACACCTTCACAATCAAACAAAAATGCAGAATATTGAACAGCTCCTTTGTTACCACCAGAATGTTGCAGATGTGTGTGAAACTGAATGTAACACACAAATTGACTTACAAGTGCAACCCCTGCCCCCCACCGTGCTTGGCTCAGTTCTCAAGTTTGCATTTGGCACCTGCCCCATAGACAGTACGAGGGGCCTTGCTTCCCAACACACCAGGACTGGCGAGTTTGGGCCCCCGATTGGGCCGCCCACATGGCTCACGGGTGCGGGCGCTCTGGCTTTCACCTCCGGGTGAGACTTGGCGAAGTGGTGTCAGGGAACCGCCAAAAATCAACAAGGCAACTGGGGAAGGGACATCCCTGAACAGCGGCCCTGGCAATGCCTTGGTTCACTCACATATTATTTTCATACTTGGTGTTGGTTCTGACTGAAGCGCAGTTGGGTATTTGCAAAGATGTCAAAGTGACTGTGGCCTTCTGAAACTCAAAGCCATGTTTGGATTCACCCTACTGCAATTGCATGGGAAGCTGACAAAACATTCAGAAAGTTGGGGTTGAACCAAACTTGGCTTGAACACCGTGTCAACAAGGATAAAGCCCATTTCACTTGGAAGGCCCACCGACCCTTCCACGCAGAATCAAGGCCAGGGCGGGGTTCTTGGTGGGTGAAGCGTGTGACTGCCCCAGATTCAGGCGCGGATTTCAGGGAACTGTTGGTGCCAGTTGCGCTTGGCCCCATAGGAAGGCCCTAATCTGCAATGGCCCAGGCAGCCAGCCTCTAAAGACTCCTGTTTGGCCCAAGCCTCTCCTTGAAAGGTTGAAGTACACTCGACTCTCTCCCTCCAATGTCAGGTCCCGAATTGGCCAAGCCTCTGTGGATTCCATCCAAGAACAACCAAACACCAGGAGTGATCCAACTCGTTTGACAACCCTTTGATGTCTCGCAAGCAACGACTTTCAGGTATAGCCCTGTTCCCCCCTCCCCAGCCGTTTTGCTTGACCCAACAAAATGAAGATGTCTAAAGAGGAGTGAACTGAAAGCTGTCCCTTGTATCCACCTTCACCGTCTCACGCCTTGTCCAGCTTCCAGGGTGGCAGCTTCTTCACCAGGGCGGCCTTCAAAATCCAGCCGCTCTTGGACTCAGACTCCGCCCAAGCCTCGGGGAGATATTCTCCCGACTTTTCTTCCCAAAAGAAACTAAGCGCTTGGAAAATCAAGCCCTCTATTCGTCCATTGGGGCTCCCCCTTCCATACATCTTCCGGGTTGACCTCGAGGCGCAACCATGGATTGTCCGTTTCGACGGGTCAATCCGCTGGCACATCGGCAAATTGCGTGGCACGTTGGTCGCAACCAAGACCTGGTGGTTTAATGAACGAGGGAATTTTGCAAAGGGCGGCCCAAAGCCTCTATTTTCTGGTTCGCGATGCCTTTCAGCCCTTCCATTCAGGTTTCGGCTTTGGATCGGGAAGGGAAGGGACATCCTCTTCCAGGACGTTAGATGAAGCCAGCGCCACATCTTGGGCCAAGCTGCCCACTGCTGGTCGGTCTCGAGGACCTTGATCTTCTCGCCCATGGACGCGCTGAGATGATCTGCCGCAGCCGCGACAACATCCTCCTGACAGCTTGTGGCCACGGAGGTGTCCGTTTGGTCTGCCTCTACCGGGGTCTCGATAATCCAATTTTTCGACCACTTCAGAATGTACGGGGTCCTTGACCACCATGGTGCGAGGCCTTGAAGTGCGAACAGCAACGGTCACGCGCTTATGTGGGAGTTTAGACTTTTTTGTGGGATATACCGCAGTTTGCCCATCATGAAGCATAGACCAGTGACTTTCTTCTCTGCCAGTCACAGCGCGGGCGCGAACGACTACTGAATCCTGAGACCGGTGCATGGGCTGCGCAGTCGGAGGTGCTGCTCCTGCCAGTCCGAAGTGTGCTGACTAGAGAAGACTCTGACCTCACATGAGGCCTGATCTTTGGGGAAAAGCCAGCGATTGAAAAGCTGCAGGCACCTGTCATCGTTGTCACAGGCCAAAGGTTGTTCACCATATACTGAGATGGCATGAGTCAAAGGGCTTGCAAACGCAGATCAAAGTAAATTCCACATCCGCGCCTATGGTGCGCTTGGCAGTTTTTCAGGGCACCTTGTTGTTGATTGTCACGTGGAGGTGGGCCATGCAAGATCAACGAATGTTGCACGGGTTCCACAGCGTATAACACCTTCGGGCTCACTGGAGCATCGAAGCCAGGCACTGGGCCAGATGTGGGTGGCCCACGATGTCAAACCGGCACCGATTCTAGTCCAACCTCCCAGAAAATAAGAAGAACAAAACGCATGGAGAGGCAGCCTGCGTAACTTCTCAGAAGAACCAGGACTCAATCAGCGGATGTGCCATGCAAATGCCATGTGAGCCTTCAAGTCACTAGGCAAAACTGCTTCCCATGGCCAGCGCAGGACGAGGTCCGCATGAACATATGCGCAAGAGTTTACAGTTTTGCCAAGGTCTAGGGCTCCTGACAGGATCACTAGATCCAGAACTCCAAAACACGGAAGTGCATAGCTTTGAGCAAGCTGAATGGGCATCTCCTTGCAGCCCCTCCCAGCAAGGTCGTACATGTCGATTCTTGGTCTCGCTGAATTGTGCCAGCGGTTTCTTGTGTTTGCTTGTTTGTTCATTTGTTTGTTTGTTTGTTTTTGTTTGTTTGTTTGTTTGTTTGTTTGTTTGTTTGCGTGTTTGCTTGTTGGCTTGCTCGTTCGTTCATTCGCTTGTTATTTGTTTGTGTGTTTGTGTGGCTGTGCATGAGCACTCGACGAACCTTAGCATCAACACATTGGCCGCTCACTTGCCTTCTGGCTTCGCTCCAGGCCCAGCTTGCACCCAATGCTCCTCCTTCCGCCTCCATATCCTCAGAGCTCAGCAAATCGGCCGACCTCTGGGAGAGATGGCCGCGCAAATTGATCCAAGGGAGGTTGCCGAATTGTCCTCTCGCTTTCAATTGACGCTCCAGAGCCCTCGATATTTGTTGGCCAAATAGCCGTGGCATGTCCCAAAGCGCCAGGGCGCGGCTCGAGATCGCCATCCCTCAGCCGGCCCTGCAAAGGGTAGCAGCGCGTCGCCTCTCGACTCGATCCGACGACACGCCGAAAGGGTGGCCTGTTGCATTGGGTCCAAAGCGCTCCGGTGACTTGGCCTGCGAGAAGGCCGTTGGGCTGCAGTTTAGACATCAGGGATTGCTTTTCAAGCCTCGGAAGGAACCAGTGCAGTTGGCAAACCTCAACATTGGTGCGTGGTCTACCTGAGAATGCAAACTTAGGCAAGGGGCCCATCGTACATCTACCTCGGTGGCCCTTCACCCGAAGCTGGGCTTTTATTTTTGACTCAGATTGTCTAGTTTGGCCAATCAATTGACTAGAGTCGTTGAAATGTGCCGGCGTTCAAGACAATGCTGCAAGCAACCCTCCATGGCAACTAATACACACCCCGTGCTTCAAGCAAAATCCAACCAACCAAACAAGCTAGCCAACCAACCAACCAGACAACCAGACAACAACCAACCAACCGACCGACCGACCGACCGACCGACCGACCGACCGACCGACCGACCGACCAACCCGACCAACCCGACCAACCCATCCAACCCAACCAACCCAACCAACTGAGCCAGCCAACCACCCCGACCAACCTAACCAACCCATCCAACCCGACCAACACAACCAACCAACGAACCCAACGAACCCAACCCACCCACCCACCCAGTCTGCGAGCCTCTCCGACAATGAGATCCTTGCAGAAGATGACGGGCTCGGGCTCACTGAAGCATTTGCAAGCCTGGACCCGGAGCGCAATCCTCAAAAAAACATCGGACACGGAAGTGAGTGCCAAGGAAACTCGTCAAGCTACAAGCATAGCTTTGTTTGCTGCCTGCATTCAGATGCGTTGTGTAAAGTCCGTAGCCGTCGTGGTCAGCTGACACCCGCCTTTCGGTGACCTTTGCCCACCAAGTGCTGCACAATGCCATCCTGCGAGAGACTTTTGTTGAAGGCGTGGCAAGTCGGACTCACTTCTTGAAGACAAATTAACAGGGAATTGGAAGTTTGCACCAGGGTAGGCCACGCCGGGCTCTGCACGCCGCAGAGCAAAACAACATTTTTGCAGTCTGAAGCAGTCGCCTTCCAAACAGAAGCCGAGCTTCAAGCGAGCCAGCAGAGATATTGCACATGTAGCAGCAGAAATGCTGGCCAATGAGGTGGCAGTAGCCAGGTAGGTGTTTCAGCTGCTCCTCCATCCTTGGCATGGCCAACCAATACGGCAAAATGAAACTGGGCTCGCTGCTTTCCGAAAAAGACGCAGCCAGTTGGGGTCACACAATCTTCAAGCACCGTCTTCCTTTTGCGGAACACATGAGCCACAACGCTCCCCAAGAGGACATGGAGAAATTGAGTGCTCCCCCCCACGGGTTGTGGCTGGAAGTTGAATGTTCCACCTTGGTCTCTCCAAACCAGAAATATATCAATGATATCGGTCACTTGCTCCACTGGACACACCGAGGTTGGCCCCAGTTCTCTTGGTATCTGGCATCAAACTGGCAACTCGGGAGCCCAAGTCTCTCAACCTGTGTCTCGCCCTCTCTGTGCTGCAAGGTCTGCCGATGAAGCCTCAAATGTCAGCAATCCAAATAGCACGCTGCTGCAACGTGTTCCTGGAATCTTTATTCTGGGTTGGCTCCGTTGCCCAAAGGAGTCCCAGAAATGAAAGCTTAACCTTTGGCTCCATGACCAACAATGAACAACATCAGGGACACCAAAACAAGTGAGTTGGTGGAGGGGAATAGAAGCCTCGAAGCTGACCATTTTGACAGGACCCATACCCTGTGCATGTGGACAAGACTTGTGGCCCCGGCTGAAAGCTTGATCACTGCTTCCAGGAGGCAAATGTTCGCCTTGAAAGCAGCCCTCATGAAGACAGAAAATTACGCCCGCATAGATCCCAATAATTGCGCATGGGTCTGAAACAGCAGGTACTTAACAAGTGTGAATGAGTCTTCTTTGCCTCACCAATGCCCTGCTCCTGCAATGCTCTCCAAGCAGCACCAACCCTACAGGAAAACACCCTGCACAGCTGCCGGCTAGGCAAACTTCTTGTAACGCTCTTCAGATGCCCTCCAAGTGGAGGTTTGGAGGTTTGGGCGGTTTGGAGCTTAGGGCGGTGTCCCATTCATCCTCGACAAGAACTCGGAAAAACCACCAAGGGCACCCTACAGAGGAACAAGACTTGCTTCGACCTCCCTGTGGAAAGGCACGGAAGCTCCGGGAAGCCTTTCGCGGCCTTCCCGACCTGGGAAGCACCATGTTCAAATCCACATTACCTCACGAATACGGCTTTCAATTGCGGGGAGTTTGGAACTCTGCTCAAGAGGACGAAGGGCTTCGAAGGGAGATTCTATGTTAGGCACTTTCCCACACAAACAAGCAGTGCAGGCAAGTTCGCAATGTATTAGGTGGGGATTTGGAGAACAGTATCTCAGTATCTTCACGGGGATTTATGTCCGGGCATAATATCACAGCCACAGAATGATCGGCGGAAATTAAAAGATAATTGAGCCTCCGGTGATCATCCCTGCAAACAAACAAACATGCGAACAAACAAAAAAGAACCGCAAAAACACAAGACAAAATCAAAAGAACGAAAAGCAACTGCCACTGTCCCAACCGACATGCGACCAAGTCGCCTCAAGCCCTGGCGGTCGCTGAACGGCCCAGCACCGCAGCGTTGGCACAGCAGCTGATCCGCTTGCTGGATGAAGCCCTCCTGGCAATTTGGCCTGGTTCACCGCTACTCTGGATGTCTTTTTCAGGGCACCTTTTTCGGGTGGTGTCAAACAAAAGCAAGAGAAAACCGCAACTGTTCGCTCTTCCTTTTTTTCTCGGGGGCCCCGTCATTTTAAGACAAAGCCATGTCACCCAATAGAAAAGGAAAGTCGTCTTGCAAAGCCCTCTGACCAGGTTCCATGATTCCATGATCAGAGAGAGGATGCATCCAAAGGGTTCGCCTGCTTTGAGACCCTAGACTCGCATACCGGAAAGCTCGGAGCAGTCATGATCCGCTTCTCACAAAATGATCTACGGAATTATCTCGCATATCTGGCTGCCCACTGCTTTCATGATGCACGCGATTCGTCCTCTTCTTCTCGCATCTCGCAGTTCAGGTGGCAGTCATGCCAAATCATAATCCCATCTTCATGGTCCTCATCACCATCATTGTGGTTGTTCCCTCTACTATCTTTGAGCGCATGTAAACCCTTTTATACCCAGCTTACTTGTAGCAGAACCAGCAGTGAACTGGGTGTTCATCACGTCGCCTTCCGGAGCTCAGCGGTCAGCTGCAGCTCCGGCTCCCGGCCCTCCTGACGTTCGAGCGGACGACGATGCGAAGCGCAAAACCGCCGTCCGCCGTGCGGGGGACTTTCGCGGTGTAAGGAAGACACTGAGCACGGGCCAAAAAATGTTGCAACCTGATTCCAGCTTCAGGTCTCGTTCGAGGGTCAGGGTCGGGACCCAAGCCTTGAGGTATCCTTGTGCTGCCTGGCAAGGATTGGGTCTACTGGAAGCCTTGTAACAAATGCGAGACCCCCCAAAGAACCGACACAGTCATTCAGCGTGCCTCACTGGAATTGCAAGTTCATGAAATCACAACACCCAAAGCAGCAGAAACATCTCATAACCAAGCAAAACATGCAGAAACTGCTGGATGTCAAGTGGTAGCGCAAGCTTGTCACTGGCTGTCCAACATTTTGTTCCCCATCAATGAGAGCCGCCCCAAAAACGCATGCAGGCTGGGGGAGTCACTATTTTCGTCTCGTTCTGCCAAAAGTCTCCGAAAAGATGTGTGAAGTAACTTTTAAGCTTTTCGAAGCGTTGGGTCTCTCAAGTTTCTTTCTTGCTTGACATCTCTCTGGCTTTTCTTGCTTACCGTTCTTCGTAGCCCTGCAACTGTTCTCTCCACAATGGATTATTTCTCGGTCACCTTCAAAAGGAACGAACTGATCATGGAGGCGTTCGAGACTTGCGATTTCGTTGGGGTTGAATGTGTTTTTGCAATTCCATGCGGAGTATCAACGACATGCTGCATATGGGGTCTTGTTGGATAGTTGGGGTATCTGGTTCAAAGGCCTTACCAAGGGTTGCTTAGATACTCTGGCAACTGCAACTCACTGCGATTTCGACCATGGCACATCCATTAGGCTGCTCCAGAATAATATCTGGTTGCAAGGCGCAACGTGTCAACTACCATTGGCCCAAATCCTGATTCCCAGGTCGATGGGATCACACGAATGACACGCTCGCTCTTTTCCCCTCCTTCTGAGAGTGCTTTGCCCCACGAAGGTGACCCTCCACACCTCAAGCGGCCAGTTTCGGTCCATGCGAGAGGCAAGCGCAACCCATTCCGTGGGCTTCTGATGGTTTCTCCCCCCAAACCGCGGGGAAAATGAAACAGAAGGCCACCTAAACTGGCTTCATCAATGCCAGCTGGGCAGCTATCCAGCTTCGGAAAGGGCCCAGCATTGCACCTTGCGCGGAAGATCTTCGAGACCGTGCACGTTCGCACGGCAGTGCTCCGAAGAACGGACTGCCTATAAGATCTCTGGGGTTACACCTTTGTCTCCCCAGCTCCAGGTAAAAAACGGCCCCAGCTTTTTTTCGAGGGAAGCCCTCAGTGCTGCGCCGCGCGGCAGTTTGCACATGTACTGCAGCGTGTCCTCGCACCGCTTGATGATGATCCCGCGAGCTTGATACTCTTTGGGGACCGGCGGCAGGATGTGGTCGTCCTAGAGGAGACACCACAAAAAAAAGGGAAGGGCGAGTACGATTCACTTCAGAAACCCCAAATCAAAAATGCCGAAATCCCAGGCGGGACGACACTGCATGCTCTGATCTGGGCACCTTCACAATGCCTCCCAGGACCAGCCGCTTTCGGTGCTGTGCCTTGGTATTTGAAGCTGGCGATTTCCGACTTCCCATACAAGTTGCACTCCCAAACAAGCAGCAAACTTGCGTCACTTGCTCCAACCAAAAATTCCTTGAAGCCAAATCTGCCGCTTTGCTGCTGATTCCACGTGCTGCTGCATGTTGGCCTCGCTGGCCGGCCCCACTTTGCAGACCGTGCAGTGGAAGCCCTCCGGACAGCTGCGGATTCCTCAGATCTGGCCGCGCCGGAAGCCCTTGCCATGCACCTTTTGCCACGGTCTCAACCCCCAGCGCCAGCCGACAGGGGCAAATCTCGGATGCAACGCGGTGAGATCACGTGTCACATTTCTGTGCTGAGTGCAACAGATTTCTTTCACTGATAATTATCAATCAGGCCATGGTCATGGCTCCCTTAAATGCAACCTTTATACCCAAGCAAAGGCGTCTGTTGACCAAGGCAGATGTCAAATCGTACCTGACAAACAAACATACGTCTTTGTGGATCAAGACCACAAGACAAGTAGCGCGTGGTACAGGTCAAACTCAACGAAGCTGAAACATGTGGGTATCTTCTGTGGCGCCAACTTTGGGGGACCCCCAAAGCTGTGGTTTTTCTGGCTCGCTTTTTTTTGACCACAAAAGAAGGACCTCGAAAAAGATAGGCGCCATGTATGTCTTGCTGCATCGCCCGAGCCGCGCTGCTCGGCCCAGTTCTTCAGCTTGGCCTCACCAGGCGCCCGAGCCACCTGGATCACAAGCGCTCAAAATGCGTCTCAGGCCCAATACAAAGACCCTTCTTGCGCCTGAAAAAAGTGCTTTCTCAGGTCCCCCTCCAAATTAACCGCTAAAATTGGGGGGGGGGGGGGTCGGGGAATGGATTTTTAGCTTGTTCTTTTGGCACCAGGGCCTGGTGCGCCTGGAGGACCTTCAGCGACAGGTAGGCGCTCTTCGCCGTTGTCTCGATCTCGCGGCTGGCAGACCTGGCACTCGCGGAAGTGGATCTGAGCAAAGTGGCCGGGCTCGGAAGTGGCTCGCGGGGTTCCGTGAAAACGCGACAAAAACGGCACCAGCAAAACTTAAACACAAAAGTGGCCGTGCTCCGAAGAGGCGATTTGGAAAAATGGGAAAAAAAAAGGAGGAAAGGCACCGGGCTTCATCTTCGCATCTGTCGTTGGCAGAATGTGTCGCTTGCTTGTCGTAAGTCCTGCAACACAATCCACGAGAGGCCGAAACTTTGTATTGCATATGACTTACCGCTGGATGAGCTGTCTCAGAAGAAAAACGTCAAATGGGCCAATACTGGAAACCTGGGGCCTGTAAGCAAGGCCAAAGTTGTACGCAGCACAAGTCAAAGCGAAGTTGGGCGCATGGTTTCCAACGGTCTCGGAACCTGACTCATGCCAGTCCTGATGTCCACAATAGATGCAACCTCCACATTGAAGCGCGACCGCATGACTTCTTGCAGTTCCTTGGGGTCACCTGAGCATGTCACAGGGCACCGGCCATCACGCTGCATCGCAAGGCCTGCGTAGGCCTTGGGAAGATTGCGGGTGAGCAGGTCCCTCACCTCAGCGACCGAAGAAACGTGCGCCGCCAGCTCCGCAAGCTGCTTGTCAGAATCACCCATGGCTTCTCAAAGCTTGCGTCACGAAAGGTAAATCGAAGAACAGGGTAGTTTGCGGTTTTTGGAAATCAAGCGATACCAACCAACGGTTTTCAGCCGGCTTTGCCAGCAAATCCTTGGCAGCGGGCCACGGCAGGCAGCCATCCAGACGCATGCGTCTGGAAGACGCAGGCGGATTCCTCCAAAAGGTCGCTGGCAGCCTCTTGACAGCTTTCCCCTTTTTCTAGGTTGATCTTTGGATGGTTCAACGGCGGGCGTTGGAAACAGCCTCCTTTTAGTAGGCCAGGATCTGGTGGCGAACCCGCGAAACCCGCGCTGCTGCAGTAGCTGTTTCAGGGATTGACCTTTTACCCCAAAGCCACCAGAGGCCAACACGACGCGTTTCTTTTTCATCTCTCCACACACGTTCCCTGCAAGTGTGAATAGCCTTTGGAGACGGCTCACATGTGGGAGGCCAGTCTCCAGGGTAGCAGCAAAATTTGCTTGGCTCAAGGCACCTGGTGCACGACCACGGAAATACATTCGGGTTCACATGATATGAAGTGGCTGATTGGGGAATTTTCCTGGCAACCTCAAGCCATATCGTTTCTGAGCCGTGGGATTTTTAGACGCCCAGATTTGCCGTGAGCCGCGCATTCTCGGCCACTCCTCCACTGCCATGGCCAGCGAGGTCGGAGCCAAAGCCAGGCCGATGGCACGGCGGCTGCCCGCCCCCAGCAGAAGGTGGAAGGCCACCGCCGACTCCTCGCATCTTTGGCCCACGGCGCGGTATGCATCCCCTTGGCCCCAGAACAAATTAGTTGTTAGCTTAGCATCCCCAGCTCTAGGATCAATGTAAAGTTGCTGCTTGTGCCCGGAGGCACGTATTCATTTCCCTTGAACACATGCAAATGAGCACCGACACTGTGGGAGGTGTCAAAGGCAAGGCAACAATTCGGAGGCAAAATTTGGGCCGTGGCGCACTATTAACAAAACGTAGCCTTTGAGTAACCTCCGAAAACTCGCCTTGAGCAAATGCAGCCCTCGGCAACCAGTGCCTCATCAGACTCAAAGCAGCGCTGGCCCTCGGCAAAGCCCGCAAGGTCCAGATCCTGGGGGGCCAAGTGCTCATGCAGCGATCCCTAGTGGATGTTTGAAGCCCAGTTTCAGAAAACTAGGTTCCAGAGGGGTCAAGCATTCGAATCCATCACCCACACCAGGATCTGGCTCTCACCACTTGCATGCCTACATCATGCTGCGAGCACCAAATGCTGACAAAGGAAGCAAAACGAGGCTTGCGTCACAGTTGCACAGCAAGCCGGTAGAACCAAACACATGGAACCTAGAATTTCCTCGTGTACAGAAATCTGTCACAGCCGAAAACTCTGGTAATCACCATTCAACTCATTCTGCCATTGAGATATTAGGACTGAAAGAACTTACCAGCACATATGAACAAAGCAAAGACTGCGAAGCCTAGCGCCTGGCACATATCAGAATCCCACACCTCCGTCACCAGCTTGGACGGCGCTCCATCCGCTCCTAGTTCCGGGTTGCTTTTTGCATCACCCTCCAAGGTTCCCAACGGACTGAAGGGACTGGGACCTTGTGAATGTGATTTGTTCCCCAAGTGCAAGCTCTATGGACACTATGTTGCATGTGTTGCACAAACTGTAACATATGTGGTTGCTCGGAAAAGCCCTCAAAAGCATGCACGAAGGACACATTGATGCTGTGTTTACTCATCTACCCCTGCAACTGCTACATATATATATATATATACACCTGTAAGGTATCATATGTATATATATATATATACCTGTAGTTCTATAAGTAGCGGACAATTCCTTTACTAAATTCAATGCCATGAGCAAGCTGGGTGGGACCCTATTGGTTTCCAGTGTTTTGAGGTTAAAAAGGGGGCATCGGCTTTGGGTGGTCCCTATGGTTGTTGCAGATATTGGCTGACATTGAAGACTACTCGTGACTTGTTGGATCATGTGTAAATGCACATGTATACGATACATTAATGTTGTTAGCTTGCACTCCTGTTTTTGTACAAAGAGTTGAGCCTAAGCCCAAGGACGTCCTTCCATCGAGCCCATCTCTGCGGCTGGCACTTGCAGAGCATCGCCAACCGTGCTGTTCAGCCTATCGCATCCGGGATACTGTTGCGAGAAGTGGCATCTGGCCAAGCACGATGATTAGGGATGCCTTTTGTTGGTGGCAATGCAATCAGAATACTTGGCTGGTGTCAAGCTGAAAATGCTGGCTCGTGGTGTGCAGCTTGTTTGGGCTATTGCGTTGACTCAAGCTGCTCGCTTCGGAATCGGCAGAGCGCACACGGCTGACACAAGTCTGGCTTCCTGCTGGGCATGCCCACTCCAGCGAATCACAGAGACTCATCTGGCTGACATGTATGGACATCTCACAATATGCTTGTAGACCAGACCAAGGGGAAGGAGCAACCCTGAGCGGCAAATTCCGCGGTCCGGGTATGAACCAAACACTGGGAAGCCGACAGAGTGCTCGACCCAGCCCTTGGCGAACAGTGCGATGCTCTGATTCCTTTGGCCCTTCCTGAGTGACCTGCCGCCGCGCCAGACAAGTCCCAAAGGCTGCGCTCGCCCTCAGATCTGAAGCCAAGCAATGCAACTGGGTGATTCTTGAGCTTCTATGGGTGTGTATGTTTTGCAGGTGGCTTGGCCCAAAGGGAAGCGAAAAGGGCAACCGAAACCCTTTTCTGGGGTCGATTTCGAGACATAGCCATCAAAAGGTCTAAACACTAGGAAAATATCAATCTGGAACATTTGATTCACGGGTTTACCACACGGTTGACGCCATGTCTGCACTTGCAAGATGCAGCCCTTAGAAGTTGCCACTCTGCACAACTGCACCCACTGCTCTACTATTCCATCTCCGAGTCGGCGAATTAGCTGTCAAGGTCAAGTCGATCTAAGCTGCAAGCGCGAAGCCGCCTCGCAAAATGAGGCGGTTCGGGGTCTAGGCACTTGTTCGTAGTCTACGTATTTTACTGGAAGGACAAGAGCCGAATGTGAGTGACTCAAAGGAAGCCAAGCTGGCCTCGAGTTCGAGCTCGAGTTTGTGGTATTGGCCTTAGATCAGCTTTCCTGTGCAGGATGCCCGGCCAGCTCTTGACATGGAGATTGTCTACAGGTAAACGCACGTGGTCTCTCACATCTCAGTCGCTTGCGGGATGCAGCATGGGCAACACCTGCAATCAGGCGCCTGATTAACAAGGCAAACAAAATGATCGGTGACTTGGCACAGCCAATCTGAATGCACATCACGGCCATCTCAGCGTCAGGTGCAACCGCCGCCCTAGCCTGCTGCACCAGGGCTGGCAAGGAAGACCTTGGCAAAAACGTGTTTCCACATTCAGCGCGCACGCGCAGAAGCTGTCCGCTGTAGCAATCTGGGCTCCCAACAACTCCCGTGCTGCCTCATCGCCGAGCTCCTCCAGCCTCACCCGAGGGGGTGGGCCCCTTTGTCTTGTCTGCAGGTGGGTCAATTCACGTTCACACAAACCTGTTGCCTGCAGATTGCCTGCGGCCGGTCTTCGTTGCCAAGTCGCGTCGCTGCCATCATGACAACGTTGGCCCAGGGGTTGAGAACCGAGGCCAAGATGACGCCATACTGAGTCCAGCCACGTGCATTCGCTGACACTTCCGTACATTGGATGACCGGTGAGTTGCCATTGACAAACCAGAGTCCCTCACGGTCTCTGCCAAGATTCGGGCCTTGTAGCTGAGGCTCGGGCAAAAGCAGCATACGAAAGTCCAGCCAGCAAGGGTGCGACGCCTTCCTGCCGCTTGCCCATGTGGTCAGCGATGCTCGCCTGACACTGGAAACAACCGGAGTTAAGCCATTGGCGATGAGCATCTTCAATATGGTGATTCTCCGCAGCAGCCCTGAGGCGGTCATGCTGGGACCCTTAGATGGCAAGGAGGTTCCCCAGGGTCAAGTCTCCAAATCCCTGTACCCTCTTTGAGTTGGGAGCAACCGAGGCATGTGGACTCGTGCTTGGCCCCCCCGCTCCAGTACCGAGCACCCGCTGGGTCAGCACCACCACCAAGATGGGTACCTCTCGAGACAGGCTCGAGGCTCAACAAACGGCGTGCATCGGTGACGCGTGCAGCTTACCTCCCTTGGCTTTTGGGACAGGAAGCCCAAACATCGGAACCCCCTTGCCGGAGAGCTGGAATTAGTGAAACTCTTGGGGTACATGGACAAGCAGCTTGATAGAACTGAGCCTGCCATCAAGCTTGTCAGAATTTCTGATCCGAAGAACCAAGCAGCATTATATGGATCGGAATTCGGCCTAAAAGTTGACAAGAAAGCCACACAGAATCCTTTGATATCTTGATATCTGGCCTGCACCGCCATTGCCAGCACTTGTGATGTAGAGGCCGCTGTCAGGTATCCAACCTGAGTGACTTCCATTGATTGCTCGGAAAGGACCCCAACTCGGCCGATGATACGTTGCCATGTGGTGTGAATGGGTGCGATCCATCACATTGGTGTCTTGCAACAAACATGTGTAGCGCTCTCACATCGAACACTTCGCCATTCACTCCCTAAACCTATCACGCTCCAAAGCAAATGAAGCGACCAAATAGCGAGAATAACAAAGGCCTTCTCAAAAATGTTTTGACATGGGTGGGTCTTATTGAGGGACCCCCCTAAAAAAGATTAGCAAGGAGACTCCTTTCGGCGTTCCTTCAACAAATAACAAAACAAAGTACCTAGTACCAACTCCACGAAAGACTAACTTCAACTTTTTGGGTTGAAGGGACACCTTCAACAAGAACCCACCGTTCTGGGGTCCTTTTGAGACACGCCCAGCCGGACCCGACCCCGAAACCTCTGGGGCGCCCGAGCCGCCGCCATGGCGCTCGCCGCGGCGGCCTCGTGGGCGGAGTCCGCGCCCGCTTGCAGCAGCGGCACGTCTCCCTGGAACAGAACCCAATGAACGAGGAAGCGAAGATGAACAAAACGAGATGTGGTAGGGGACTAGATATATATATATATATATACATATATATATATACATACATACATATACATGTGTGTATATATAGTAATGTTGCACATAGAAAATATTATATACATATATATATATATATACATACATATACATATTCATGTATGTGTATATATATATAGTAATGTTGCATATATAGATAATATTATATATAGATATACATATATATATGTAAATATATATATATATAGTTATATTATCCACATATGTATTATTGATATATGTACATGATGAGTGGCCTGGTTCGCATTTGTCCTCTATTTGACTGCGTGACCGATTGTGTTAGGTTCACCCTTCCAGGAAGCCATACTTCAATGTAGAAGAGAAACCCACAAGGTCACAAATCCCATCGAAGGCACCTCCAGGGCTGTTGCCTGCACGTCCTTCTCGATGGCCACACCTGTCCAGACACTCGCGCACCTCTAGACATGACGTCCATTTCGCGGCAGTGTGCAGATTGGATGTTTCAAGATGAAATCCGAGTCGAGAGTTTGGATGATAGACTGTATAAATGACTACGTCCAGCTTGAAATGGATAGAGCCACGCAGCTTTAACAAACCCGGAACGTGTTTCCTTCACCGTTTCCCTTTGGCTTCCAAACAAAAGGGAGGGGCCAAAAGCAATGACCACTCCCTTGAGCGTTAAATCCCCGGAAGCCAACAAAACACACGGGATGTTAGCACATGTCACGCACAAGGTTTCGACAGGCCTCACTCTAGCTTTCTTTGCGGGCACCAAAGGGAAGCACCCTATTGTTGTTTTATCTATTTAATTATGTTCTTTCTGTCTTTTCTTTTTTTTTGGGGGGGAAGTCCCTGTTTTGAGACAATCTTCTTTGGTTGGGGATTGATGTCCAAATCAGTTTCCCAAAGGGCCCCAAAAACACAAGGCTGACCTGTTGGCACCTTGAGGAAACCTGGACCCTGGGAAAACCATTCAGCTCGCCTTGAAACCACCGCCTCGGGTTCTGGGGCGCCCGACGCTGGTCGTTGGCCGCCTGGATCTCGGAGGAGCCCAGGGCCCACTCCTCCTGAAAAAAGCTCTTCGAGCGAACAAGTTCCTCAGTCGAAAAGGCTTTCCTGAAGGGGGGCCCGTACCAACCCGGTGGAATCAGGCGGAACCACCCACGAACATGGTCTCAAAGCTCCTATGGCTGATTGGGTCATGGTTCCCTTGACAGGAATTAGGATTATCCTTACCAAATGACCACCCCTGCTAATTTCAATTCAAGGAACCGGGCTTTTGACCATGGCTATGAGAAAATAGGAATGGAAAACAACATTAAAAACCGGACTCGCGCGAAACATAGGCTCTGATTAATGGGG